AATAGAGAGGGTATTCATATATTTATTAAATATGTTTATTAAATGGAATATTGTCACAATTAAAAAATTTCCAAGGTTTTTGTTTTCATTTTGCAATGCTACAATATGAGCATTGCACACTATAGGCCAGTGATCTCTCACTGAACTATATCCCCAGAGAGGCAAGGTAATTTTAATAAGCCAATAACTGTTCTGTCACAATATGGGCATGACTAGTCAGAACCATGAGGGAAAAAAATGCACGGTTTTGGTAGTCATGATTGTATTAAATCTGGAAAATGGGACAGTAGACTATTTTAACTATAGAAATTTCCTGCATGCTAATAAATATTCTGTAAGTAATCACACACTAAAAATCCTGTTTAATACAATGAAGTTTTTTGTTTGTTTGTTTCTATTTTCCTTAAGGTTATTAGGGATGAATGAAACAAAGTATACTGACTATCAAGTGGGTAAAAAATCCAAAACACAAACAAAATATCAAATGTTCCTGTTAAAAAACCAAGAGGAAGAGTAGCCACTGTGAATTATCAACTCATCTTTACCTTAGAAGTCTGAATCAGTCTCCAAGGGGTTATCTTTTACTTCCTAAATATGAAAACTGACATTACAACCAAAAGAAGTTATAAATGGAGAAGGTATAGCAATACAAATCACAGTGTTATTAGATTTTGAGGTAAGGACATTTTTTGCGATGTGCCTACTGCATAGTCATGACTACATCTGTACTCTCAAATTCAGTAGTTGGAAATGTGCTGAAGTTTCTGCAGGCCTCACATTAGATTCCATTTGCTCCTTTCACTCTCAATTGCATTTGTGTCTTTCTGAATGTTGTAAAGATCAGCACTGTGACTGCCTTGTGTGTTCCACACGTCATAATAACATTGCAGTACTGATTGTGGTGGATTACTCAAAAATGAAAAGTAATCACAAATGTAATATAGTATCCATAAATGATTGGGAATTGAAGCAATTCCCTTTGCAACTGTAAAAGCACACACACTTGCTTGAGTATAGCCTGTCTACACATTTTCAATGTATAAATTCTTTAATCTATACATAAATGTGCATCTGAGCAAATACTGTAAAGCATAAAAAGTTAAAGTCAGGATATTTAAGCTCTAAAATGAGCATTTCACTTAGAAAATTAAGCATAGCTGTTTACCCAGAACCAAACTCTGGTGCAGCTCGTACAGATTGTTTGAGTACTTGAAGAATTTGTCAAATGTAAATAGATCACTGTTCTTTATGTTAACATTTTCATTTATTCCCACCCTCCTGCTGGAGAAAACAAAGCACATGGGACCAAGAAAATTAATTCCCCAAATGCTGTCGACCAAGTTGGGAAACAGCACTAAACAGCTTACTCTAAAGCCTCCAGCTACAATAAAACAACTGTCAGTAAATGGGCAGAGTTGAGACGCACAAAAACAGGACTGCTGGATATGACAATATGAAAGGGAAAGGAGATCATTTCTTGTTCTAATCTGCTAAGTCTGAATCCCAAAGGATGGAACTCAGAGGAGCAGAATGCATTGTCACATAGCCGGGTTCTTTCCAAGTCTGACCCAGATGCAATGCATTAGAATTGGTCTAGATGAATCTCAAACCCAAACCCTCTTTCAAGAGAGTCTGTATTGATTCTGAGACATAGGACTATTTTAAAATTTATATTTTAAACTTCGTTATGTTAATAGAAGCGTTCCTTCTACTCTCAGACAAAAACAGGAGGAACCTTTTTGTGAAGCGACCAGTTGGAATTTAGTCTGTTGACACCTTTGCAATGGACAGCAGTGAATTTTGCTTTGATCCTTAACTGGTAAGTAATGGAGACACAATCCTTTGCTTAAAACTGTGAATTCTCAATCTGGGAACACAGAAGACACTTTTTAAATTATTAAATGACAGAGTTGTTATACTGAAATTTAAATGATAGGGTTGTTATACTGAAATTTAAAAAGGCTTAGTAAGATAGAGTCAATAGAGGGATGGAAATTACAATGACCTCATGTAAACACACAGGAAAATAGCAAGTGAGAGTGTGTCAGACAAAATAGGGTCACTGCGCCACAGACCAGCTCCAGATGTAAAAACCAGACATTGCACTTTCATATGAACAATACAAACTCGTGATACTTAAATTTGGTAACCTTTTATTCAAGATTCTTGCATTTTCCACACTTCAACTAGCACCATGAAGTAAAAAAGGAGTCCTCCTAAAGGCAATCATGCCCACTTTACCAAAAAAATCTTTACATATTATGCATTAGTCTATAAATTTACTTGAAAGAATTTGTAGTAATAAAATTTACATTTTTAAAGTTATAAACTACGGAATTCTAGTTTGTATAAAGGCTACTAGTTGAAACAGAGGTGTTAAACAAGAAATAAAAACACCTATTTGTTCTAGTTTTAAAAAACAATCTTAGAGAATTGTCACAGCATTCAGTGAACACAATTTTAAGAAGCTATATATAATTTATGTCTTTCATTCACAGGAAATAGCCTTTCCCCCTAACATTGTATCTATGCCTTGGCGTACTGCTATTGCCTCTCTACTTACTTCCAAGATTTATTTTCTCAAGTATGATTATTACATTTTTATTTTGAAAGCTTCTAAAAGATATAAGCATTGTTATTTCAATAGCTCTTTATCATGGGAGTGAATTTACAGCTACTTTTCAACATCAAAATGTACACAAGAAAGCTACAAAATGCCTCATGGGTGAAAAGTGTGTCTGAAATATACTGTAGTTTCCATTAGGGAGTTACTCAGCATCCTGAGAGCAAGATTATGTCATATAAACAAATGTCTTTAAGACAAACTTCAAGCTTCATCAGAAAATCTCTTTAAAGTTTTGTTGAAATACATCTGACTAGCATGTATGTCCTTGTATCATATTTAAGTTCAATAACTGTGGGAAAAATCAGAAGGTGTTGGCCTGTACCTCACTAGCAACGCCCATGACACTGACATCAAAGAAGTGAGAAGGTTGGGAAGGAGACAGGTAACTCTCTATGGGAAACCAGTTTCTGATCTCACGTGAAAAGTTTCAGTTCACACGAGTTCTTTTTTTTTCAAGGAATGATGAAAATTCTGTCATACCACAAATACACAGTATAGAGTCTAAAAAGTGAAAACCAAAACTTTTCTTCCTTTTTCATTGACATAGCAACTTTTTAATTAAGGTCATTTAGTTTCATCAATTATTTTTCTTACCATAATGAACTATTTAACAACTTTTAAAAATCTTTGCTATGTTTGGATGAATTTTAAATTTTAAACACTGCTTTCTTCTCCAACGCTGATAAGGTTGGTCTGAACCTAAGTTGTACTTCTGACTTCCACTTACAGCTAATAACCTAACAGATTCCTCTGGTACTTCAAAACTGATTTTGTTATTTTGGGTCTTTTTATCTTGTCTACAATGCTTTATTATTTAATATTTCAAATGAAGATTTTACTTTCATAACCATAGGCATTATACTTAATATTCATGGAGGACCTGTGTGATTCACAACAAAATCATTTTTATAATACCTTATTGTCATGAAGCCTCGAAGTCATTACAGAGCAGTTACTGAATCTAAAAGGGGAAACAGTTTCTGTAAGATACACTACTCTACCACAACTTTCGGAAAAAAACAAAACAAAACAACAACAGTAACAAAAAAACCCTCTTGCTTTTGCAAAGACTCGCCAATGACTGTCAAGACAGCTCTGCAAGTGAATTGTGTTTCTCTTGATTTTCTGAGACCTGTGTTCCTAAGAGTTAGCCATGTGGGTGGATGGGCCACCAGCAGAGGTGGACTCCTAACAACAGAAGGAGCTTGGCTTCCAAAATCCTAGAAAGTTGATGTGCTGGGAGCAACTCACTGAAGAGCAAGCAAATGAACTTAAATGCTGGTTGCTACAGAGGGACTATCATTAAATAAAAGGTATCTTTGGCTGTACTACCAGCTTGAGCCTTCCCTCCCCCTCCTCCCAGCTCCTGCAGGACTGGCACCTGGCCAGCACAAGGGACATGATACCGTAGTGCCATCTACAGGCTATTATCGACATTCAAACTTAGTGGCAACAGAGAAGCACCAAAGAAATAAATTAGACAGCGCTGCATTTAAATCTTTATTAACAAGGAATTATTAGACCTAAGAAAAACTAATTCTGGATTTGGTTGAAATATGAGTTTCTCAGCCTCTTAATCCCTCTTCATATGGCATATTTCACAGTTTAAAAAGAGTTATGACAGATCACTTATGCATTACTAAGATGAAGAAGTATTTACAATGGATTCCTTCTTTTCTCTATGAATTAGTAATATTAGAGACAAAGCATTCCTTTTTTTTCATTTTCATATTTGGCCATTATGGACACTGAAAACCTTTCTGAGAAAGACCCAATTTTCTATATTACAATAAAATAACTTGAAAGCAAGGATTATACTTCCTATATGGCTTAGATGCAATCAATCAACAATCATGTGCTTCACAGCTGATGTACATTTAATATCCTACTCTTTTTTTTAAGAGTCTAAAAAAACATTAACCCCTTTAGCAACCACAGCTCCAGTGTAATTGGTGTCAGACCTTCAAACGTCACTTAAACTTGAGATTTGAAGGTGACTTTTTAGATCAAAAGGTAATGGGAAAATCTTGAAGCAGGCAATTTGGAAACCCCAGGAGCAGAATTGGGCAAATCAGGATGGGTTTTCTTCTTGAGCAAACATTATCTTGGGACGTTTTGGAATAATTTCCCCTTTTCATCTTTGCCATTTGAAGGAAACTGGGAGGTTAAATAATTCTCAGAACTCAAAAATTTCAAAGCTGTTCTAAAAATTCTTGACTAAGCCCCAGAGGAATAGAAAAGGGGTCAAGTTTTTTTTTTCCTCCTTATAACTTGGCTAAAGTTAGACCAAAACAATAGACACACTGGCACATTAATACTGGTTGACTGGGCACTTGTATGCAGTACTTATAGACCAGTAAAGGTGCTCGTTTACCTGTCTGGTGTGTAAGGGGCCCTTTGTCTTGAAGCCTCCTTGGGAGCTGCACTCTGAGGCACTGAAGTGGTCTGAACTAGTGGAGGAGCGTTTGGAAAGCGTGTCACAGCCCCCAACGAAGGTGTTGTCCAAAGGGAGCTCCTGAATGACGTGGTGCTTTTTCACGGAAACTGGAGTGTCTGGTTTGAGATGAAAAGCAGGCTGCGGAGAGGCAGATTTGTAGTGCTTGGCCAGGTCAGGACTGTTAGGCTTGAAGGTTGTTGGGGGTGCGGGTCCCCAGTCAAATCTTCCTATACTCTGTTCCTCAAGCTCAGCAGGCAGGCTTATGGTCCCATTGATAGGTTCGTGGACTGCATCATCGGGTTTGGACTCTTCAATAGTTACAAAGTTCAAAAGAGAACTCTTGGGTGACTTTCTTTTCTTCCGTTTCTTCTTCTTGTTTTGCTTATTCTCCTGGTTTGGGGACATCCACTCAGCACCTTGCTTGCTCCTCTGAGCTGCTTTGAACCTTGACGCGTGGCGACAGCGCACCAGAACAGTGACAAAGATCACAACTATGACCACCATGGCCCCCGCGACGATGGCAATCATGATGGTGAGATAGTCCTCGTTTTGATAGGGTTGGCTACTATCTCCTATGTTCCTGTCCAGGGGGGTCTCCATAGTCCTGCGGATCAAGTCATAGATGTACGAGGCATTGCCAGCCGTATCGTTGACATAAAGAAACACTAGCACAAGGGTGTGCAAAGCCTTAGGGTACCCCAGGTCACTTATGTTGACCACCAGACGGTGCAGGCCCACATCAGTCAGTGCTGGCTTTTCTTCTAGAGTGATATTGCCCGTTACTGGGTCAATCCGAAATAATCCTTTGTTGTTCCCACTCACTATGGTATACTTAAGTTCGGCGTTCATTCCAGTGTCAATATCCACCGCAAAAACTTCTGCAACCACAGAACCAGGAATGGCTGAGAGTGGTACCAACTTAAAGGAGGTGTTGGATGGTGGCGAAATCACAACGGGACTATTGTCATTGACATCCATCACATTGATAGTTACTTTTGCAGTAGAGGACCGAGGCGGCTGTCCTCCATCGGTGGCTTTGACATCAAAAGTGTAGGAACTCTGCTGCTCTCGGTCAAAGGAGACATTTGACTTTATGACTCCTGAGTAGGGATCCAAGACAAAATTTTCATTGTCATTTAGAATGGAGAGAGTCACAGCTTTATTGTCTCCAGCGTCTTCATCTGTCACTGTGATGACTCCCACAGTACTATACTTTGGCAGATTCTCAGACACAAAAAACTGAAAATGATTATGAGTAAACTTGGGGCTATTGTCGTTCTCATCCAGAACAGTAACTATCACGGCCGCTTGGCTTTGGAGGGGAGGGGTCCCATTGTCCCTGGCAGTTACTGTAAAAATGAACCGCTCTTGTTCCTCCCTGTTAAAGACTCTGGAGGCTGTCAAAACTCCTGTCTTTCTGTCCAGATCAAAGAAGGAGGCATTCGGTCCAAGCTGATAAACAATGTCTGCATTTTTCCCACTGTCTTCGTCTGTAGCACTAATAGTTGTTAAGTATAACCCACGTCGGTTGTTTTCAGAAACTGACAACTCAATTACAGGCTGGTTGAAAATTGGTGGGTTGTCATTTTCATCCTCAAGCTTAACCCTTACCAGGGCAGTCTGGTTCAAACTGGGCTTCCCAGAATCAGAGGCAACGATTTTAAAGCTGAATTCTTTGGTGCCCTCATAGTCCAGCAGAGAAGAGGTCTCTAGCAGATACTGGTTGTCATACACTGCCTTCAGATGAAATGGGACCTCTCTTTCAATAAAACAGATCACTTTGCCGTTCACGTCTGTGTCCTTATCTGAAACTGTAATTAGGGCAATCTTTGTATTGACTGGATCTTTCTCAGACAGATACACTGTGCCGTTGATGGGACTTATAATGTACCTGAGGTCTATGTTCGGAGGGTTATCATTTACATCTGTGACATTGATGGTAACTGTGGCTCTGGCAGGAGTGGAACTGCCATCACTAGCCAGCACTGTCACTTTGTGAATGGCTGTCTCTTCCCTATCCAAAGACCTCTGAACTGTAATCAGCCCAGTTGTGTTATTTAAAGCAAAGAGTCTTTTGGTTGCAGGGGCAACCTGGGCACCAAAAATGTATCGGATTTCAGCATTGCTGCCTATGTCTGCATCAGTCGCGTGGAGCTGAATTACAGAGGTCCCCACAGGAGCGTTCTCTGGAATATGCACCTCTACTTGACCCTCTTTAAACACTGGTCTGTTGTCATTCACATCACTAACTGTGACCTGCAGTATGGCTGTGCTGGATTTCTGTGGAGTGCCTCCGTCCTCCACTTTGATTTTCATTACATAGGTATCTTTTTGTTCTCGATCCAAGTTCTGCTGAACAATCAATTGCGGCCACTTTTCTCCCTCTGGAGTTTCCACGATATCCAGTCCAAAAACACTTTGCCCGTTTAGCAATTCATAATGCTGCACCCCATTGAAGCCTGTGTCAGGGTCTGTGGCTGATGGGATTGGAAAGCGGCTGTTGATCAAAGTGTTTTCTGGAATGGAAATATTGATGACAGGAGACGGAAACATGGGGGCATTATCATTGGTATCCTTGACAATGATCTTGATTTTGATCAGCCTGAAAAAGTCATTGGGGAGGATCACCACCTCAAGTTCAAAGAAACACTCATTCTCCTCAGCATAAGAGGCTCCGGCACAGAGTTTCTCTCTGTCTATTCTGTTGGAGGTGGTGAAAATCTCCCCGGTGCTGCTGGACACTTTTACCAGAGGGGCGTCCCCAGCTTTAGAAACCAGTCTGTAGACAAGGCTGGCACTGGTCCCTGTGGCAGCATTGATGTGAGAAATGTTCAGGTCCTTTGGTATATTTCCTATGGGCACATTTTCAGGCAATTCCTCTCTAATAGTGTAAATAAGTTCTTGAGCTATTGCCGAATCCAGCCTTAAACAGGCAATCAGAGCAGCCAACAGGTAAAAATCCCTCAGGTCCATGATAATGTATTTATTTTCTTTCCTTGGATTTTAGAGTTTAAAGGTTCCCACTGAGGAATGATGCACGAATTGCAAGAGGAAGTGTGCATGGACTGGAGGAGGCATTACATCTCATCTCTTATTTGGAGACAGCCACTGTCAACACAATTATACAGACAATATTATTCTTCAGTAAATGAAAACACAGTCACAAAACATTGAACCACATTATCACTGCATATTAGTAAACATGGCAATTTGCTCTGCCACAGTTTACAACTTAACTCTGTGGCCAAAAACACTGACTATCCCTTGCTTGTTGCCTTTGCCCGGAGAAAATGAAATTCATCTACTTTTGAATTAAGGACAGCAGCTATTTTTACCTGGATTTCCCCCGCACAGTTTTTTTTTTGAGAAGGCTGTTTAATTCAAAGCATGAATTCTTCTTCTGCTCTTCCCCTCCCCCCTTTACCCACCTCCTGGTCTCTAGCCCACCTCCCCCAGTTGTTTGAGGTGGAACTGAAAAACCTCAAGTATTTAGCTATGATTGCTGCCAACTGCTTTGTCACATGTTAGATATGATGTGTTTTCTTCTCTGTCACACTGAGTCATCCCTTCCTCTCAAAAGACTGCTTTTCCTTCCTCCCAGTTCTTCAACTGTCTTCTAATCCATCCTTCCTGGGAAATGAGCATCCGGACATGCTGCTGCAGCAGCAGAAGCGATAGTCACTGGCCACTACATATTCTCATTGCCTCAAAGCACACAACCAAGACTTCACATTTCTTACTCAGAGCCTGCTCTCTTTTCTCCATGCTTCCACATTGCCCCCATCGAGATAAATAAACACACTAAAACTTTTAAAAAAACGTATGATCATAGACAATTGCTTTTCACAGAGGTGAACCAGTGTGCTGGGATGGAAATGAAACACAGCCAACATTCCTATGTAACATCACAATATTTTTCTACCGCGCATACAAGAGGGGAAAAAAATGCAGTTTCTTAATCCGGTGTCTCATTATAATATTGGTAACATTTGCTACACATAAATACCGCAACCCGGTAACACACGTAAGAGAACTTCCGCTCAGATGCCCCTCTAACTGCAGTTTAAATGGGTGCAAGGCTTCAGGCAGCTCCCCACTGGAGTAGGACTGGTCAGTTCCCAGGCTCTAATCTTATCTGCATTAGGCTGCACAGTAGCTGATGCCCGCGATTAGTTCCAGCAGAGTGGTGCAGGTGGGGTTGCAGATACAGACCAGTAGGTGAGCTCTGCCCCAGCCTGCTACCCAATTACAAACACCCCTCGCCTACACCGAGGACATAACAGAACAAGGCATTTCCAATTGTGCATGCGAAACTTTACACTTACGTTAGTTGCCTCAACCTTTCCCCTTTCCCGGTAGGCTGCAGTTAAGAAGGATTTGTTCCAACACATAGAAAGCCATGCATCTGGTAGCACCAGTTTGGGGAGAATTCAGAAGCAGCAAAACGTTTCCTCCTTGTAAAATGTGTGGCTTCGGGCTGGCAAATTAGCAACTCCCGAGAACAAATTCACAGATTTGTCGTTAGTCATTCTCTCCACATTTCCTCGCTACTGCTATTACCCACAGGGTCTGGGCTCTTCTGGTATTTAGCACACACCACATCCAGTTGCACTTCTTCAGCTCGGGAGTATATCCCACAGCAACCAGCCTACCATTTGCATCCGATGGCAATACTGCTCAAGTCTCTAACTTCTGGTAGGAAACGTCAGAGTTGGGTGATGGTGATTTTTCTGGCTGTTGTCCCGGGGTGCCAATTGCCCGACAAATTCTTAATCCGTGAGCTCTTTCTCGCTTCGGAGACTGAGGCTCTCCTTCCTACCTCGCGTACTCTCCGCTTTCCCTTCTCTTCTGCCCCCCTCTCCTTCTCCCTCTCCTCTCTCTTCTCTCTCTGAACTGAATTTCTTGATATAACTCTCAATAAGCCCAGAGGGAGGGCGTGACGGCCAAAGCCCCGCCCCGGGGTCCTGATTGGCCAGCATCTTGCAGTGCGGGAGGCTGCAGAGGCTGCGGGAGGGGCCGCCGAACAAGGCGCTGACTGTCTCCAGCCTCCCCTCCCCAGCGTCCCTCGGCAGCCTCGAAAACCTGGAAAACCGATCCTGGCCCCGGGAGAGCTGGCTTCCAGGACGCTCACTGAGCATGCCCGGCAGGGGCCAGCACCCGGGGAGACTCTGGAGCTATCAGGCTCTTACCGAGCTTGCAGCAGCAGCGGAGCCAGGGGGATGCGGTTGCAACCGCGCGGAACCCGGGAACCTAGATTCTCGCCTCGGGGTGATGAGGGTCGTCGAGGTCGCTCTTTTCTTGATGCATTTCTGTCTGCAAAGTGGAGGGGCTGAAATGCGGAGATGGCTGAGACTTCAAGCCATCCCTCAGTGAGGAATTCTGACCAGCAAATTTTGGAGCATATTAAACCATTAAACCGACTCTGTGCCCCATGCTGCAAATTGAGGCATTTGCTGGCAGGGGCATCTGAAGGAAGGGCGAAGAGGGCGGAGAGCTAAAGATAGGGCAGTAGATATTTAAGTCTCGGTGGAGGATCGAAAGAAAATTAATCTGGGCATTTACTGCGCTCCGGGTCACTGAAACAGTCTGGGGAAAATGAACGTTGCATCTGGGGTCCTGGGGCACGGCTATGGCCAGTGCACGGTGCGAGAAGTCTCCATTCTTAGGAGCTGACAGAGCTGTGGCGCCCGATCCTGGCCGCCTCTGCCTTTCTGCTTTTGCCTCACAGGGAACCCTGAGAACCTAGCTCGCCAGAAAGGAGGCTACAGCCGAGCCCGCTCCCAGCTCACCTAACTGCGAACTTTGCTTCAGACGGGCTGGAAGGAATCCCCAGCAGCAGTTAGCGAAGCTGCAAAAGCTCCTTGTCCCTCTGCACTTTCTGCTGGATTCATTTCCCCGCCAGGCACGTCTCTGACTCCAGCTTTGTAGCACAGCCTCACAAGTTTGTTTCTCATTTTCTTGCCAAGGCTGGATGGGATACTTCAGAAAGGGTTAGCCTAATTCTTGTAATATTGCCACCCCTAAAACCCTTGTCTGTATTTGCCTCGCTCATCTTTACAAACCAGAAAGTTAGGAAGGTTTGTGTAATTGGATGCACCTGTTCCAGACAGGTGCCTGCGTCAAGTTTGAAATAAAACCCTATTAGTTCACCAACAACCTTTTTTTTCTCTGAACGATCTATAAAGGTTATCTGAGGAAGTCTTAATGCATGGTTAACTTTTGCTAACTTAAAGGAAAAATAACGGGCGTTTATTTTAAACCTTGTGTTTCTTACACTGTAGTAGAATGTAATGGTATTAAAGGCTTTTTAATTCGGGAGTATCTTTTGCTTGTGACTGAAAATAACATTTATTTTTACATGACTAAGTCAAAAGTAAAACAAATCACTCATCATGCCTCCCAAATGGAATAATGTATAAATAATCTGACTTTTAGCTGCCTTTTTTGACATCACGATTTCCTCATATGAAAATTTAGTCCCCGTTTTTTACTCAAACTTTTCCTCAGGTGCATACTCAGAATAAAAGTGCAGTGTCAAGAAGTTCACCATGAAACAGTTCAAACCCTTGGGTAGTAAAACATTTTTTTTCCTTACAAGTAATAGGTTGATGGTGTTTGTGTACAGTCAAAAATTATTAAATTATTATTTTATATGATCAGAATGAACAAATTTAAGGAAAGAAGGACCCCTAAGTATCCAGATGTCAACAGAAAACAACCTTTATACAATAACACTAGCAAATTAAAGGTTGTCTTTTAATCGTACCTCAGTGAATGGTCTTTTGCCATTCACAAAATTAAAGCTAACTCATCGTTCTCGTGCTCACGTATTGTCTGTGCTGAACTATTCTGGTACAGTCACAATAAACAACAGCACAGGCACTTTCCAGTTGATTTCCTGAGCAATGCAATTATATTTTAATCATACCACAGTCATTTCAAAGTCAGGTAATGGCAGCCCACAGCTTAAAAAATAATTATTTAACCTCATTGTTAAGCAGGGATATTATTCTCTGTGAAGAGATAGCTTTACTAGCTGGCCAAGGCCATTATGTACCCCATGCTTGAAAATGAAATCTTAATCTGAATCAGGATGAAGGCTGGGAAAGAGGAAACAAATCACAGCTTGAAAAGCATGACCACAAGACTTCAATTAATAAAAACCTCAGGTCAAAGCCCTAGAATGAGGCATGGGTACCTGTTCTTCAAAGCAGAAATGGAGCTCTTGTTTCAGACACTCTGTCTTCTCTTGGAGATATCTGTATTTAGGCATCCCTTAACCATGCAAATCCTTAACCTCTTAATGATAGAGTATGCAGGCTTACTTTATCCTGTTTCAGCTGATGAACTCTGCAGTGAGAAATATTATTTTGTTAATAGTCTTAAAAGAAAATTATACATGAAATAGTCCTTTGCTATTTAACTTGAAGTTTCTTCCCAAAGCACAACATAATTTGTTGTACAATTTCAAATACACTATACTGTTTAAAAATATAACTATATAAATAAAGAACTAGGAGAATATTGTTAATTTTAGTGTGAAAAAATCTGTCCTTTTATGCTTTTTTATTGTTTATTCTGGTGTATTTAAAAATATTACATAGCCATTTAGTTAATTTGCTGTGTGTAAATAGTCTAATGTGTGTGTGTGTGTGTGTGTGTGTGTGTGTGTGTGTGTGTGTGTGTGTATGTGTATTTCTAACTAGACCGCTTTATCTAATTATCACTCATCATTGACAATGCATATTTTTACAACCAGGAAACATGATTTCTTACCCTGACTACCTGATTAGTACTTCCAGAATTATACCATCTGGGCAACAGTAAAGAGCCACACTGTTCTCTCCTGGCTATCTAGGTCATGGGACACTTATAAATCGAAGTCACCTCTGGCCAGTTAACTGGAGACTAAAATGCCTTCAGATCTGCATAGAAACAGATGTGGAGTGAATGCAATTGTTTCACATCCCACTAGTTTAGAATCATTCTATTTATATATTAAACAATAATTTCCATGCAATGACATATAATAATCTGAATTATTAAGCAGTTCACTTTAATTGGATTCTCGTGTATGACTTTCTAGTTATCACACAGCATTTTTAAAATTGCATTTCACGCAAAGATTATAAAGGATTTTCCTGCAAGTTATATTTTATATAAAAGACATAGGCTCTGATGTTAAGAATTACCAAATGCCCTCCTCAGGGATTTCAAGGCCTTAGTAAAAAGGTTTCTATGTTCCACTCAATACTAAAAATAATATAAAAAAAATTTGTGTGCTCTATACTTGTAAATTTAATCCAAATATGGCACTGTATCTAACAGACAGTGAATCCATCACAGGGCTCTGATGTGGCAGCAGTATCAGTGTACCCATTCCACAAAGGGACTAGGCTGTTGAGCTGTACTTCTTGGGGAGGGATGTGTTAAATGTGTTAAGGGTTCTGTGTATTACCACTCTCGGGAAAACGACAATGCAGAATTTTAACACCACACGAAGAAATTAGCACCTTCCAAAGGCTGTGCAAACTGAGGACTTGCAGTGCGCTCCTGGAGGATGACGTGCCTCCCTGAGTCATGATCAGCTCTTCATTTGGAGTGTCTTTCTTCTCCTTTTCTTTTTTCACCTTTTCCTCCCTTTTAAAGGCAACCTAATGTAGGTGATCAAATCATCACGGAACCCCGGTGACATCTTTCATTCTCTTTGAATGAGTGATCTAAATTTAAACCAGTTTGCTGTTTTCATGAGTGACATGGATTACAGGAATCACATCAGTGCCTTTAACATTATTACAATGTAAACCTACACTTTCCAGAACCACTATTCTGTCACGATCACTACATACATTTAAAAATATATTGAACTCTCAGATTTTCTCATGGCTTATAGAAGATTTTAGTTATATATAGGCAATCATTTCAAAGTGCATGTTTTCATCAGTGTGGCTGAAGTAGCTAGTGGTTATGTAGGTAGGTATATATTTTTAAAATAATAAAATAGTTATATAATGTTTCAAATTAAATAATTTCATTAAAGCTGTTTAACTGGAAGCAAAATATAGAAAGCTTTTCTTTATTCTTTTTGAAAAAGTTAGATTAAAATTGGTTAGGTTAAAATATTGAGTATTATCTATTCAATCCATGTGTTGATAAATAATTAATGTACAGTGATGTGAATAAATATGCATATTGCTTAGAAAAAACTTTATTCATATATAAAAACACAGTTGTTAGTGAACATTTTAAGCACAACTGCATTTGCCAAGATCTAACTAGGAGAAAATAATCTATTAAGGTTTTTTTAAAAAATGATACTATGATTTTAACTTTATGTTTTCATTAATAAGCATATATTGTTGAAAATAAAACTTCATGTTATCTGGGGCAAAAATCTTGGGTGACTTCACTGTCCATCCCCCTCCCTTCTTTTAATGTTTTCAGACTTTATTTAAACACTATACTCACATGACTTCCCTTTGGAGGCCCAGTTTGTTACATAAGGTGCACATAAATAGACTACTCATGTAGAGCAAGGCGGATAAGCCTAGTTTTCCTCTTCCAGTTTCTCAGAACCAAATTCAAACAGGGTCCTCTTCTAATTTCATCAAGGTGAGTCAGGAAAACCTTGCGTTTTTTTGACTGTTGCAGTCTTGGCTTATCTCCACAGGACAGTGTGACAGCATAATGGAGATGAATCTTGCCCTGCCTTCAGCAGACACCCTTACATTTTGTCTCAGATTTGAGTCAGTATCACTCTGCTTATGTAAAACTATATTTCTTCATGTAGTTATATGTCCTTAAATATTTTAAGATGAAAATCTTATTCTGTTCAGACATTGCCAATCCTGCCTATGATTCCAGCATCTGGAGTCTGAGGCCAGAGAATTACTGCAAACTCAAGGACATC